AAATTAAACCTCTCGTAACGATTTATCAAACCCATATCTTTTACGTCTCAGCGGAGTCATGTTTCTGCCTTAATATAAATTTTTGACATCACGTGAAACGGTATCCTCTTTTGTAATGGCTGTTATTATAAAGCTGTGTCTCACAAGGACTGGGAACTACCGAATTGTAATTGCTGAGAATAAAAGACAGCTGTGGTTAAATTTATCCTTTATTTTTAATTCCCACAATTCCTCAGTTTAAAACTAATTTAAGCATCCATCACCAACCCCTCTCTCCCCAAAAAAAGTCTTCAAACATTCTTAGGGTTAAACCACTTGAAGTGTTCCCATACATCGATTACAACAGTCAAAGGTTACTCTGAAGTTCCTGGTTGAAAATCGGCTTTGATAATCATGTCCCATGTACTGCTGCGCCATTCTTCTCATGACACCTTTTAGCTGTTGCTCCTCTGCCTGGAGATTGACATCACTAGACAAAACCTGAACAAATGAATAAAAAAATCAGAGAATCAAACAACTCTGCTCAACGAAAACTTTAAGTTGTCTAGTATTCTTGTTCCGTGGATCTTTCTCAAAACTTCCTGTCATCATGGTTTTAGGTCTATTTTGACTTCCTCTGAAGCAAATCTACACGAAACTTCTTGTAATGTGCCCTGGTTTATCTGGGGTTTCTTTGACGTTTCCCTTTAGCGACTGTGATGGTGTAACTAGTGGCTGTGCCCAGAAAGAGACTGTAAGGCAAACCCCAAACATGAGAGCCCACTATCATTTTTTTAGGAAGTCTCGTGGGCAGAAGTAGACCATTAATAGCGCCTCTACAGACCTATGAAACCCCTAGTGTATCCACCAAATAAGTTTGATGCAGGATCACGACCCAACACCCCCTCCCCATATATGACAATATCCATCAAGAAGCTTGCTTGTAGTGTAATAATACTTAAAATCAAAACTACCGGACCCTTTAAACGCCTTTAAACAGTGACTAACATCTAACTTCTCCTTACTAGGAATCAAACAATAAGGTCACGAGAATAAAGGAAATGATCACCAACTGAAGAAGCTTGACATTGAAAACAAATTCTCCTTGTCAGCCACATAGGAAATGTATAGATTACAATATTGAGAATATAATGCTCACTGATGTTATGGTGTAAAGGGCTAATACTATAATAGCAACTTTCCCAGAAAAATGGCACCAGCACCAAAATATGCATACTTTGTTTAATAATCTTAGCAGGCTATTAACTTTCAGCTGAGAAATTGCGAGTTTCAATTTAAAACATTACCAACACTCATGAGATTAAGGTTATATACTTTGGTTATCCATGCATGCCTCCAGATTCCACTCTCCTTTGAAAGGAGATTGGAGCTTTAGGTAATCTTGAATGGGAGTGCCACTATGCAGTTGTAAATTAACCAAACTAGTCTCACCTGTAAAGCCAGTTTTTCAGCAGATGTTGGCTCAACCTGTTGTTCAGTCCCAGTTTCCTGTGGCTCACGAGTCAACATAAATGATGTTTCTGCTAATGAGAAGGCTGGTAAAACATTTTGCGCTACACCTAAGGTCTGTTCAGCTAAGGACTTGTTTGTGGAAGCCATTTCTAAGATGCTTTGATCGTTTGAGGTTTGAGATGAAGTGAAGGGGCCCTGATGAATGCCACTTGTACTTTTGAGCAT